TCTGACATGATACTTTCGCCAAGCTTACGAACAAGTTCTCCTAGCGTGCGTGCAGCTACTTGACGTTTATCAAAACTTGGACTTGCGAGATTTCTAATAATCAAACCCATCATTATTGGCAGTATTTCTTTGACAACACGAGGAGTATTGGAAACGATAGATTTCCAAACATGCATAGATGACTGTCGAACGATACCAGATACTTTGATAAAAAAACAAATATATTAAAATCTTCATTTCGATAAATGTTCAAAAACAAATTTAAACAGAAATTTATAAATAAATAATATGAATAATCTATTACCGTCTTGTCGAACAATATATAAAGCAGCCAAAACTCTATCACGTCTTTCCTTTCCAAGAACTTGTAATAAAGCCTTACGACCAACTTCTGTCCCTCCAGTTTCTTCCTCTTCCTCCCCTTCAGTAGTTGTTTTACCACTAATACCAGTGATGCGATACAATAAGTCTCCCATGAGCTGCACGGAACTTTGTCTAATTCTCCAATTATCATCAAACAATCCTCTTTCCAATTCAGGAAGTAAAAGATCTACAGCTTTAGTCGCATAGTTTACAATAATCATTTGACCTGCTCTAAGCGAGGCATCTCGCACATATTCTGATTCGTCAGCTAAACCCGATAAAATTGGAGTAATAATACGACCAAGATAAGGCTGAAACCTTTGACCAAATGTTGCTGGAAGATAAATAAGTAAGGAAATAAATCCTTCACGCACATATGATTTTGGACTAGTAGCGTTAATTACAATTTCAGACAAAAGTCCTTCAAGACGGCTTAGACCTAACCCTGCTAATACTTCGCTAAGTCCTTGTGCAGCACCTTGATGATCAACACCACTGGTATCTGATTTAAGAGTATGAACTAGCTCATTTACAAGACTTGGAAACTTGTCTTCCCCAAGTTTTTCCACCATAGTACCTAATGATTTGGCAGCTGTAGCACGAGCTTCAGGTACAGGATCTACTAACACTTCTTTAAGGCTTGGTAGAAGCCGTGGCAAGTAAGGGACAAGATCTTTAACATCAGTTAGAGATGCCATATTACCAACTATTTGTGAAGACTTTTTTTTAACCTCAGTACTACGTTCTTTCAAGCCTCGCTCAAGAATTGGCATTACCTTCATGAACAAAAGACAGCAGATACAAAGTTAATGCGCTCATCCTGTTCGAACGCAATTAGATCCGAAAATGATATACTAAAGTACCCCTTACCAATGCCAATGACGGTGCATCAATATAATGAACAAAAGCAGTTTCC